TATTATTATTATTATTATTATTATTATTATTATTATTATTATTATTAACACCATCAAACATCCAGATTTGCCTATCCCAGGTCCTTGGTAAGGACTCGATAAGTAGACAAATGCCAAACCCAGTCTGAACATCTGGCTGACTGTGCGAATAATAATAATAATTCATATAGCACTTTCAGAGAGATATTAGTGTAGTTATGATTTTAGCTAGTTTTAGTGTTATTTTAGTTATATATTGCTATCAGATTGTAAACATACTGTAGTCAGACTTCCCTTAATCTCTCAGAGATATAGATTGTATGTTATGAGATGCATGAAGGCAAATATACATGCCCCAGGAGAGTGTTGCAAGATCCAGTCTGTGTCCATCACTGGGACCAGAGGTTTAGTCTTCAAAGCTTTCAGACTCATGTTGGTGCCCACCCTCTTCTGACCAAGGCTTCCTGAGACTGTAATTAAGCACACGCTTAGTCCAAACAATTCTTGTTTTATTTCAACACTGGGAATTAAGTTCATTCCCAGTCCGTAATGAGTCCCAAACAGTCTCTCAAGATAAGCACCCACCTTTATGTCCTTTGAATGGCTGCCAACAACTAAACTGCCAAATTAACTGTAAAAAGCCAAGTGAAGTACAAAGTCCATACAGAGCTTCAAGGTTTAATCCACCTTTGCACCTCCTTTATACTTTAGGGGAGGGGCAATCACCTCCAAGCCTTACTCCTGAGTTGCCCCTTTTGTCTTAGCTGTTCTTGCCTTCTGGCAGCTCTGCGCACATGCATACTGGGAACAGGCTCCCCTTGTTCCTGTTCCTTCTGCTGCCAGTTTCTGGAGGCTCCGGAGTCAGCATATAACTCCCAGATGGTCCTGGCCCCATCTTGGTATTGGATTCAGGACCCTCATCCGAGTCCTCCCCAGACTCCCGGAATGGTCCCTGTTCTTCCCCACTGTCCAATTCTGCTGCCGTCTGCACAGGCTGCTGGAAAATCACAACACACCCTATACCCTAGACTATTCCAGGACTCGTTCTGGAACCCATCCAGCACAGCCCATCCAATGTGTGTTCCCTTACACACACGGAGTTTCCTGAGAATGGTCTCCAGCACAAGTCCAAGAGTTCAGCAGACTAAACTCTCGTCCTGGTGACCAACTCAGATTGGATCTGTAGCATTATGTTGTGCTTTTGGTGGGGAGGGGTTATCAATGTTTATATCCTATGTGGTATTATACTGAGCATCAGGAAATAGCCACTATGTGAGTAGTCTCATCCCACTTGTTTTCTGAAGATAATTAAGTAATTCTACATAGGTAATCCTAGACTTAATGCTGACATTTAGCAATAGCACTTAAACTTATATACTCTTTCATAGTGCTGTACACTCTCTGGGTGGTTTAGAATATCAGCATATTGCCCCTAACAATTTGGATCACCCTTTTACCAAACTTGGAAGATGGAAGGCTGAATCCACCTGAAACCCATCAAGATCAAACTTCAGGCTGTGGACAGAGTTAGCCTGAAATACTGCATTCTAACCATTGGCCACCGGGGGCTTAATAATCAATTGCTTTAGCAACTGTTCAAAGTTACGACAGACCTTACCAAGGCTACCTACAACCTGTTTTAAAATTAACTGACACTATGGCAGCCTTCAGTCATTGAGCCCTTACGAGCAACTGTAGGGATCCTGCAGGGACAATCTATCTATCCATCCCAGCCCACTGGTTCCGGTAGCCAGTCATCAACTTGGGAGATTAGGATGGCTACAGCACACAAGAGTCAACTGGAGCTTACACCTTTCTTCTTACCTAGCAACATAGGGGAAGTCAGGCCATCTGGAGATTGCCTCCAGCAATCCAGGAAATTCAGCTGGGTTCCCAAGATGCAAGAAGTGGTACATGGAGAGCTTCGTGGAGTAGAGAACACCTTGGGAGGCCTGTGCTAGGACTCTCAGGCCATTCCTTAATCTGAGGGTCTCCAAACTCCACTTAATAAACTGCTTAACAATTACATGGGAGGGGGGAGAGCAGAGATGGGGGCTGTTAAGTAAGGCAATCACATGACTTCTGACTATCCTGGGCGTAGTCCATTATGGTTATAATTTGAGGACTATCTGTATTTTCCTTTGGAGATTCTTGCTAAATCACTTTCTAAACAGGAAGTAAATTAAATAGAATGATTGAAAACCAGGCAATCTATAACACCAAAGCCTCCTTCAGGAACTTGAAAACTTTTTATAAACTGACATTAGGCAAGTAATTAGATTGGGGAATTTGTGATAGTCATTTCCATCATAACATTCTCTCTCTAGGCCTATTTTCTTAGCATCTTTTCTGTCTTAGAAAATGACAGGCAGAAATCTATCCTGTTTATAGATTTATATCAAACTAGAGAACTTCATACTATTTTAGCTATAATTTTTAACTATTGGTTGTTGTTTTGAATTTTGAGTAATACTATTTTTTAATATTTTTAACATACTTTAGTACATTCGTCTTAAACATGTTTAAATTAAATGGGAAACACACACACACATACAGTATACGTTAATACTGTACCATACATCTCATTTATTTTTCTACAACACTAAACTTGTAGTTTGACAGTAAATACATTTATTAGCAAGTCGTAGTAAGATGTTATAAAAGTATGTAAGGACTATCTAAATGACGACCAGCAGTTGCACCATGATTTATTTATTTATTTATTTATTTATTTTGATTTGCCAATTGTTTACAAGATAATAAGTATAAATGTATACATAGTTGTGAATACATGAAATGGTTACATACAAGAAAAATAAAAGAATAGGAGAAACAATAGGACAGGGACGGTAGGCACGTTGGTGCGCTTATGCACCAACGTGCATAAGCACGTTATGTAAGTGCACAGTCCCTATGCTGTTAAACCAAGGCCTTATTTAGGTTGGGAAGGGTACAACCGGAAGTGAAAAGCCCAATAAATCAGTGAACTTGCCTCCGGAGAAATGAGGTAAAGCTATCCAACAAAGTAAGGTGAATCAGGAACACTGATTCTGACCTCCTTGTTCAATTTCAATATTAATGGTACCGTTGCAGTTCTTGCTGTGCTTTACCATCCAAATCTCACCAATCAATTTACTTCTGTTCTTTTTTTTGTAGACCTTAAGTTGCATTACCAAATCAACAATTGAAGTTGCTCTTGAAATTAACTGTTCAAAAATAAGGTTTCAGTCTTTTCTAGAAAGCATTTTAAGTCCCCGCTTATAGCCAGATATTAAGTTAAGGACTTAAAGCATGTATGTTAAAATCTCCAACTGCCAGATTAATCAATTGAGCAACTCTATAGAAAGGACCCCAAAGTCTCTCACATGATCCTTAAATATGTGTG